CGCCCTCTGCGCCTGGTAGGGCGTCAGCACGCAGAACTCCCTGGGCTCGAGGCCTGTAACCCCCACCCCTTCGTTGATTAACCAGAAAGGGACCCTTAACCCTTTGGGAGGGGACCTAAGTTAGGAGGGCCAGAAACAGTAGGGATAAGGGGTCTTCTCTGCCGACGCAGCAGCCCAAACCGCCCTGACCTCAGTGAGGCCACGTCTTCATCGTGTTATTAGGGCTAGGGGCCCTTAAGTTGAATGATATTTTTCCCCTTCATGACAGCGCCAGGACAAAATATTGATTCAGATCCGTACGTACAACGCCGCACCGTCCGCGGCCTTCTGGAGGCTCGCTCGCACCCGGGCAACGTGCTTGAGGGCTCGCGACCTGCATCCGTCGGCGGAGCTTGCCATTAAAACAACTCGCTTAGATCCTGTCCCGCACCATTATTTCCGTGAGCAGGTGGGATGTCACAACAAACAGTGTACTGTTCACCGTTTGAAAAGATGCTTCCAGGGTCTTTTCAAATCCCCACTGTACACAGCATCTGTCCCCCCCCCCCACCCACCCCAACCCTTTCGTTTATCCTCCATGACCGCACCGCGACATGGCACCTCCGTGAAGCAAGCATGAGCGCACTACCAGTACGAGTCCTAAGGCCAGCAAAGGAACTCCAACAGCAGAGAGGACAGGAAGGACAAGCAGGGAAAAGAGGGGAAGGCCGAGGGTCAACTCCAGCAGTCTAGAACAGCCCAGCCTGACAAGAGAAGGAAGGCCCACCCCTGAGACGCGGATGGAACGATGCGTCCCCCTTGAAGGCGCACGTCCGAACCGAACATGTAGTACAAACGTCTTGTAAATATATCGCTATCCTGGGTGTGGCCAGAAAGCGCCCGCCACCGAACCTATGCTATAAGATGTCTGAACACGCGCGTCGCCCCGAGCATATTTGGGTGATGTCGACACCCCTCCCCTCGGGCAAGATCAGCCAGCATCGAATCGGGAAACTGGGCCGAATCGGAATGCGCTCAGATCGAGCCGCATCGGCACGGAGTAGAAATCGAATCCGATCGGCTGCGCCAACATCAAGTATGCACAACAGCGCCACGCAGCATTGGGCCGCATCGGGTCGTCGGAACCTCCATCGAATCGGATCGGGACGGCCGAGATCGCTGTCGAATTGGATCGATCGGATCGCACTGAACCTTGAAGGAGCCGTGTGGAAAGCAGGACGACGACGACGAGGATGCCGACTAGGAGGAGGAGGGGGAGGAGGAGGAGGAGGAGGAGGAGGAGGAGGAGGAGGAGGAGGAGGAGGAGGAGGAGGGGAAGATGAGAAGGAGGAGGAGAAGGAGGAAGAGGAGGAAGAGGAGGAGGATAGGGAAGAGGAGGAGGATGAAGAGGAGGAGGAGAGGGAAGAGGAGAGGGAGAGGAAGCCGTTTCTCTCAGCTTCGGCCTGTGGCGGCCCGCCGCAGGCTCCCTGGAAGCTCCCCGAGGTCGCCACAGGACAGGTCCAAGCGGCAGCGGAGCCTTCCAAGGATGCCCACACGAGGCCAAAATAATCCCGAAGACAGGTGATTGTTTCAGTGGTTTGAGCTTCTGCGGCCTCAAGGTGGCTCCAAGATCGCCCACGATAAAGCAAAGAGGAGCCAGGCAGGGCTCCAAGACGGCCCCGAAGACCCCCAGCAACGCCCCAGGGGCGCCTCAGGAGAGCCGCGAGACGACACCAAGAAGGCCACTGAGCGGCCCAAAAGCGGGAATCCAAGCGCGGCAAGCCCCACGACTACCATAAGACAGTCCCAAGATAGCCCAGCAGTGGCCCAGACAAAATCCTGCAACGGCGCATGGTGTTTCAATAGGCCTGGCTCTGTCGCACTTTCACTTCCGATGGGCATCTGAAGGGGCCGTCAGGCAAAATGGCATGCATCGAACAACTCGAAGCAAACCGCGACCACGTCGCACTGTTGATTCATCCACGACCCAGCGGCAACGCGTGTACGAAGATCGGGCCCTGGATCGTGCCGCATAGTCGATTGCGATCCGCGGGGCCCCCTTCTGCCCTGGGCCCATTTCGAACCTAGAGGGACCTGGAGCACGGAACACAGCAGGACCAGTCGAGCGCCATGCTGCCAGAGGGGGAGCCTGGCTTGCGGCCCTCAGGCAGAGGAAAAGCACAATCAGAATGTTGAGATGAGAAACTTTCTGGAATACCTAAACAGAGCCAGCTTCTCCACCAAAGACTAGGTTCAGGCATTTCAGCTCAGGCCCTGAAGGAAGACATGCAGGAAACACCGTGTCCCTTTTCCGATGCAAACGAGTGTCTTTCGATCATGTGACTACGCGCTACTGAGGAAGACGGGCATGGCTTCGCATGGTACCGACATGGCACATGCGACATCTCAGCGCGAAAGGAGAAGGGCCACCTGGGAGAGGCATTCTGCCCTGGAGATCCACGTCCACATCTGCCGCAAATTCCTGCACATCTGCCAGGGCACCCCTGGCACTCCACGAGCGGCTCTTGCACGCTCTTCCTGCCTGTCCACCACTGCCAGTCCCCCTTCTCCCACGTAAGACGAAGCGAGAACCAAAACAAAAACCGAACCAGGACAAACCGGGGACCTCTGAGATCTGGGGGCTCTGGAGGACGTATCGACCGCCGCGGCCGCTCCAGAGCACTCCAAATAGCTCTGAGAGCGTTCCTGAACGCTCTGGAACGACTTATCTCTGTCCTGGGCATGCCCGATCACCCCTCCCCTCACTTTCCGCTCCTCGCTCCCATCGCTCCATGTCTGCACTCGGGGCACGGGCCATATGGAAATATGTACGGATGGGGGCAGGCTGAGAGCACGATCCTGGCTGGACAAAGATCTCGAACTAGCGTTAAGAGGGGTCGGGGGGCCGAACAGGCGATCGCGGTCGGACAATGCACACGAGCGCTAAGAGCAGAAGAGTCCCCTCCGTCTTGGCCTGCGTCTATGAAGTTACGCACCGCGTCTGCGATAGCCTCGGCTTCCGTGGTGTTGAACGTGGAGAAGCCACGCTTGGCCTCGATGCAGAAGAAGCTTCACAAAGAGGTGCAAGAGGGCGGGCGAGATTACTGCATGGAGTAAAGATCCAATGCAGCCAGCAGCCCACGGCGTAGCACCACTACCATCATGCACGAGGGCACGCACGTGAGAGAGTGGAGTGCGCGAGAGGCACGTGGAAAGCATAGGGCAGGAGAAGCAGACACACTCTGACAACGAAACGGGGCTCATGGCCATGTCAACAACCGGAGGGGCAAAATGAATACCCTGTGGCTGAAAAAATAAGGACAGCGCGAGAGAGGAGCACCCAGAGGACCCAGAGACCCAGCTGAAGGGGTCGGTCTGACAACCATGCCTACCCAGCCAAACTTTGAGAGAGTGGGCTGGGAGTGGACTACACAATGATTGTGCAACTCGGTGGTGCAAACGTGATGCCGTGAAGCCACAGAACATACCTAATACATCGTGCTCACCCCGAAGAGCATTCCATCAAGGATATCGGAGGAAACGCCACATGAGATCAGCGCAGGGCCCCAGATGGCACAATGAGGGCCGCCGATTACGTCCAAAATGCGTCACTGCCCATCTGTGTGTATACACATACGTGTACACACATGTTCATACATACGTACCGATGTATATATATACACATCTCTATATATATATATATAGATATCTGTATGTTTACACATATATATAGAGACACACGCATGCTAGAACCACGCGCGCTTCGCGCGGTTAAATTCTAGTCTGATAACTGATGTACCATCAACAGGCTGGCGCGACCACCCATTCACATCGACTGAGAAGTCGGAAAGTCCTTGCGAGATCGTGGGCAAAGTCCGAGTGACCGAGTGACGGGCCGAACGGGCTTGCACGCGCGCTTGGATGCTTCAATTACGCGCGTTGTAGCGCGGCGTTGCCTAAGCCAACGGATCCAAAATTTAAAAGGGAAGGGGGGAAAAAGGAGGAGGGTAGTTTTCGGCCCCCGCGACCGTCACATCTCCTCTGGGATCTGGGAACCTCAGGGAGCCCGCAAACCTGGATCCTCGAGCCTGGATGTATGCCGGGGGTCTCCTCATGCAGGGTATTGTTAATTTACATGTGTATATATACATATATACATACATACATACATACATACATACATACATACATACATACATACATACATACATACATACATATATACATGCATGCATGCATGCATGCATGCATACATACATACCTATATAAACATCAAACCATGCTTTTTCCGTTGAGACGAAGAAAAACTCTTCAAACGATTTAGGTCATGGTGCAAACATAAGTATTTAGGATAATCACGATCCCTACTGGGTTGCCTTGTTTTCGCGATGTCCCTCCATGCGTGTTTCGGCGCGCGTAGTATACACAGCGCCCTGCGCGCCAGACAAACGAAGCGCCTTTTTCAATCCCGCGTAGACTATGGCCGCATCTGTTTCGCTACAAACGGAACTCGATCCACATTCACTGGCTTCGCGTTCGCGCGAGATCAAACCAACCCTGCTGCGCATTCAGCCGACTCCACGCGGCTCGTTGCCACTAGGCTCACCCAAAAGAGAGACGCGACAGACGCAGCGTGCGTCCTGAGGGCACGCGAGGGGGGTCACCAGAAAACAACCAATCCAAACGCGCAGACGATCCAAAGGCAACCGCTGATCGCAACACGTGCAGATAGCAAGCGAGAAGCGCCGCAATGTAGAAACAAATGCCCGCGGGGGCTGGCGGAACGCCGCAAGCTCGTCCTTTTTTATCGACCCTCCGATCAATCAATCTTCCGATCGACCGATCGACGGGTCCTCAGTCCACGCCCACCCCATACCCGATTTTCAACTGCTTGTCCATAAAGACGAGGGCGGGCGCGCGGAAAAACAGGATCCAAAAATGGAGACAACAATCTTGACCTTTTTCCGTTTGGAAGCCACGTAATGCGCACAGCACGCATCACATGTTGGACGCGCGCGCGCATTGAGAGCCAGTCCCCCAGCGGGATCGGGCACGCAGAATGAAGCCGCAACGCTCCTGTGGCGCAGAACGATTTGCGCTCGGCAACAGTGCGGCACGCTGTTCAGCCCACGAGGGCGCCGCATCAGCAGTGCGAGTCGCGCGTATGCTAACCCCGACGCAGGGCATCTGACCTGCTTGCGAATCGACTACATCACATGCCGCAGCGGCGCGATTTCGGGCGACGGGGGCGAAGGCATTGCTACGACATGTTCTCGTTCCCGGAAAAGTCCACGGGGCCCACCTCCAGGCAGTGCTTTCCGGAAAACACGCGGGGGCTTTCCAGGATGACTTGGAATTGCCGAAGATGGTCACGCACTGCGTCCTGGGGTGCTTCGATGTCTCGCAACTGGTCGGAAACGTAATTTCGCAATGGCAGGGGATTCTCCATGGGGTATTCTCTGGGGTATTTTGAAATATCGCAAACGGCACTGGCATATCCTTGGAGCACCTTGGGATCTCGCGGATGGCATTGGATAGTCTTGGAGTATTTCTACAATTTTGCAGATGGCACTGGATAGTCTTTCTGGAGCATGTTGGATTTTCGCAAATGGCGTTGGCGCATTCCTTGGGCATGCTCGGTAAGTTTGGAACACGTTGCGAATATTTGTTCGCGTGAACTCTGCGGGGGCATGTTTTGGAATGTGTTCAAAGATTTGGAATCTGCCGAAAGTATTGCGTGAGTATTCGAAATCTGCGGGGTGCACTCTTGGAGCACGTTGCGCGCGCGTCGCGCTGGAAATCCCCCGTGGAATATTTTGCGTCGTCGGCGAGCGCGCGACGTCCTGCGCTGCACTATTTTTTTTGCTACGCCAGCGGCGACGCTTGTCTGTATTTCAGGCGCCCCGATGGCGCCGGCGACGATTAGGGCGCGCCGCAGACTCCCGGCCCTCATTCAATACGCGCGCACTGGGCCCACCGATCTGCAAGCACGAGTATATGTATATAGGCGCGCACGCGTTTGCAAGTAGGAAAATTGCTCTGCCCTGGTTGAACGCGCCCCGCTCGGCCCCCCGCGATCCACATGACCACCTCGCTGGCCACTGGATAAAGATCGAGTTCTACGCGCCTTAGTTTATGCGCAAATGTGCACATGTAGCCCTGATCGCACTTTGCCCCGTCGCGCGCCTCATCGTGCCCTTATCTGCTCTACCCCACTGCAATGGCACACGCGACCCTCCCCTGCTCTCTTACATAAGAACTAGTGATTGTTTATATGCCATCTCTACGCCGACTCCAACTCTGCCCTATTCGAAACCGGCTCTAACCTCATCCTTCGCCCAACTGCAGTCAACCTGATTCGCAGACAACCTCTAATCCACTGCTACCGCGCTCCATCTCAACGCCTACTCCGCTCATATCTAGTCGATGATGGATGGCATCAAAATGGATATGCCTTTTCTGGTCTGGATTGCCACTCGCGCAATATATCCCGCGCGACTTCCGAAAGTAAGAAACCCAGTGGCCGAGCGTGGGAAGCGCCAGTCTACGCGTGCCACTCTTACTGAAAGGGAGTAGGGTGTGGACAGGATGCACAAGGACGGCGCGCAGGAGCGAGGGGATAAAGAGGGGGGGCAACTGGAGTTTTGCAGCGAGAACTTGAATGCCAGCAGCGACAAAGACTATTCAAGCGGCTCTTGTGAATGTGAGAAAGCAGGAGTCCAAATCTGCGAGAGAGCGTGATCCACCGCCGCTCTACTGTGGAAAATTGCCCCCCCCTTCCTCTGGAACCCGGCCCCCCCCCTCCCCCTCCGAAAATCCCCCTCCCCTGCTGGACCCCCCCACACCCCCACTCCCCTCCCCCGGCAACCCCCCCCCCTCCCCTCACCCCTCCCCCCCCCCCCGGCGAAAACGGGGGGGGGTTACTACCGGTTCGAACCCCCCCCCCTCCCCCCCTCGAAAACCGGAGGGGGGGGGGTCACTGCCGGTTCGAACCCCTCCCCACCCCCCCACCCCCCACCCACCCCCCACTCACCGCCAGCAAACGACTCCCGGTCCCTACCACCGTCCGCGCCGCATCCCTCACTGTTGTTCCCAGCGCCACTGTCCTCACCACCACTGTGCCCACTGGTTCCACCACCGTCCCTTCAGTCCCCACCAGTGCTCCCACCACTGTCGCACTGTCCCCACTGTCCCCACCACTGTTCCCGCCACGGTTCCACTCCCACTGCCCGACTATCCCCACTGTCCCCACTGTCCCACTGACTCCTCCGCTGTCCCACTGAGCTGTCCCACTGTTCCCACCACTGTCCCCACTGTCCCCGCCACTGTCCCCACTGTACCTCTGTCCCATTGTCCCACCGCCGTCCTCGCCACCGCCTTCACCACTGTCCCCACCACCACTGCACCCTCCACTGTCCCATATTTCCACCTCCCCGTCCCCTCACCACTGTCCCCACCAGTACAATCCCCACCACTGTCCCAATGTCCCCACCACTGTCCCGCTGTCCCCTCACCACTGTCCCCACCACCACCCCGTCCCCACTGTCCGCACCTCCCCTCGGTTTTCCAAGAGGGGGGGGGGTTCGAACCGGTAGTGACCCCCCCCCGTTTTCGAGGGGGGGGGGTTCGAACCGGTAGTGACCCCCCCCCTTTTCATGATGAACTGGGGAGGGGGGGGGAGGGGTTCGAACCAGTAATGACCCCCCCCCCGGTTTTCCGCAGAAGGGGGGGGGGAGGGGTTCGAGCCGGTAGTGACCGCCCCCGGTTTTCCGCCAGCCGCGGTACAACACGCTCTTTCAAATCTGCAGGTCCACTGTGGGCTGCCAAGAAGGCACTCGTCGAATTGCTCGCGCTGCGCGCACATGTAATCGCATCGCCACGCCTCCCAGTCCACGGTGGCATGGCGCGCGGTCGACCCTCATTGTGCACACTGCACAAACCACATCGCAATAGACGCGCGCCTCTGCTAAAACGCGATAACGCACGCTGCCGCCACCAACTGCGGCGAACGAATAATGGTGACGCCGCGCGGCGCACCATGTTTCCCATCCGC